TGACCAGGGGTCGTTTCGTAGGAAAAGAGCTAGGGGGACTCATTAGCATAACTCATTAGCATATGCCACACCCCCTGACATCACCGGAAGTGTGTCATAAGGCCACACACCCCACCCCCAACGGTCCCGGCCGCCGCCGCCGGCCTTGCAGCTCCACTGCCGAGCCCCATGAGGGGCCCGGCGGTGGACCTGCAAGGCCAGCGGGAGTGCAAGGAAGCCCCGCGAAGGCCCTCCTTCCCCCCCCCCCGAAATGACCTCTGGTCATGACTGAGACCATAAGCAGTAGACCAAAAGAGCCAGGGACAGGAAACAGAAACCAAGTACCACCATGAAGAACAAGCTAAGGGTCGGAGCAATGGAGGAATCCTCTCCACCAAATGATGTCATCATTACTGTCCCGTTGCTCCTCTCAGTGTGTGTGCAAACAGAGGAAGGAGTTGTGTTTGTCTTTGCTTTCTGTGCATGCACACTAGCAGCAGGTCATCAGCCAGAAATATGCTGGCTCTGTATGAGTTTATGAAACTGGTTGGGCTCCACAACCCACCTGACAGCCTCAACCCACTCTTTGATGGTATAGTCTTGATTATGGAGGAATTATAGACAGGTCTGACCTCCCATGGAGCATCTCGCATGAACAGAGCATCCTAGAACACGTCCTAGAATCTTCTGCAATTCACAGGAATTCCTAGGCAAAGTCACTATCAAAACGGTTTTCTGTGAATGCAGAAAATTTGAAAATAGCCAGCACAGGAGTTTGGATAACCTTGAGGGAAATATAGACGTTTTGATTTTTTTAAGGTAACTATTTTATTGTAGTATTTTATGCAGTCATTCTGTGCCTTTTCCCTGTTACCTTGTGTCTGTTTTTATCTGTATACTATCTCAATCAATGTGAGAGAATGGTATATAACTACATTAAATTTAAAAAAATGAGCCCAAGACAGGGAGTGGTAATAAAATGTGAATGAAAATAGAGAAATTCAGGCAACCTTTTCTTTAACCTTGGCTTCCAATCCAAGTACCTTGTTTCCATTCTGTACTTCATATTATATGTCATGTTCTTTAATTAAGTGCATTGCAGTTATATGTTGTAGAATTTGTTAAAAATTCTGTGCCAAGGACTGAGTGCCCTTTCCTTGGTTCCAGATTTCCTGTTTCTTAAAAGTAGTCCTGTCTGTATCAGGTTTTTGTTTTTTAAGTGTGATCTGCAGCTTCTTTTCCCTGATTCATTAGATGGGAATTAAAATAAGTGTGCAGGTAGATCTTTACATCCAATCGAGCTTCCCTTCCATAAATACTGTGTGCCAAACTGCTTTTGAGTTTCAAGGGATTTCCAGAAGCAGCTTGTGATAGGGCATAAGTATCTGTATTCCTAACAGGAAAAAATATTAAATCCAACTGAATGCTCAGCTGAACTGAATGCTCACAAGTTCTTGGCTGCTGTTCGAATATTGGCCTTTTGTATATTTTGATTTCAAACCTGGATTTATATTACTGAGAAATGAGCAGGCCTGCAGAGAATGCATGCCTTTAACTCTGGAAGAATGAAAATGGAATGAGTATTCTTCTCCCATTTTGGACTGTTATTTATGAATAATAAAGCAGATTTGAACCATCATTCTGTAAGCATACACTGAAATTGTGTGTGTGTGTGGAGGGGAATCCATTGTCAGGTCCATCCTTTTACCAACTGACTTTTGCTCACCTTCAGGATGGTGAAAGAACGGTAACATCCCCCTCCTCTTTAATGCATGATAGGTGTCTCTTATTGACAGGGGTCATTTCATAGAAAAAGAGGTGCAGGAGCTCATTAGCATAACTCATTAGCATAGGACACACCCCCTGACATCACTTGAAGTTTGTCAGAAGGCAACACCCACTGCTCAGGCGCCACTGGACTGTTTTGGATTGCTAGCTGGGGGGAGGGAACGCACAGATCTGCCCTCACAGAGGAGGGAGAGCTTGTACCTGAATAAAACTTGGTCTTAAAGGTGTCACTGGACTGTTTTGGGTGGGGGGGGGGCTCTACTTCTTGCTCTGAGAGCTGCTGGGAGCAGGGGGTGGGGCTTGTTGCATGTGCCCGCCCCCTGGGCTCTTTACTGCTGGAGCTCTGCTCCTGTGTGCTCCTGCAGGAAATGACCCCTGCTTCTTGTACTGGTGAAATGGCTAAACTAATGATTCCTATTGGTTTTGGAGCTTTGACATTCTATGGTATTTATTTAATATTATGAGACCTCCTCTAAACAGAACATTTCATTTATTTATTTATATAGTTTATAACTCACCTTTCTCCCCAGTGGGGGACCCAAAGCAGCTTATATTGCTCTCCTCTTGTCCATTATACCATTATATCTTAACAACAACCCTGTGAGTTAGGCTGTAAGCGTGTGACTGGCCCAAGATCCCCGAGGAAACTTCCATGGCAGAGTGGAGATTCAAACGCAGGTCTCCCATATTCTAGGCCAGCACTTTAACCACTACTCCAAGGGTCCCCAACCTTTTGAGCCTCTGCAGTTTTGACACAGTGTGGTGGGTGCAGACACAAAATGGCTGCCACGGGAGGTGGAGCCAACCTTAAAATGGATGCCACAGCTTACCTTTCGTCACACAGTGAAGATCCTTGTGCTGTGGTGGCAGCTGCTGCCAAACCAACATTTTAAGAAATCTGCACAGCCAATCAAGTCTCCAGTGGTCGGTCAGAAGTCTTGATTAGCAGAAGCCCCACCTGACCCCCGCCCACTTTGTAAAAACACTTGGCAGGCTCCAGGAAAGGTGTTGGTATGCCCTCACTACACCATACTGCCTCTCACAATAAATCATAATACATTTTAAAATTATATGTAGACAGTATAAAACAAAATGAAAACGATTGAAACAACAATAACATCTGATTCTAATAGGAACAGTAACAGTCAGGTAAAACTGGTTGAAATTACATAAGTTCTGTTCCGTGTCTGAACTGCCAGTTTGGTGTAGTGGTTAAGTGTGCGGACTCTAATCTGGGAGAACAGGGTTTGATTCCCCACTCCTCCACTTGCACCTGGCTAGATGACCTTGGGCAAGCCGTAGTTCTGACAAGAGCTGTTCTTGAAAAAGAGCCGTTTCTGTCAAGAGCTCTCTCAGCCCCGCCTACCTCACAGGGTGTCTGTTGTGGGGAGGGGAAGGGAAAGGAGTTTGTAAGCCGCTCTGAGACACCTTTGGGTAGTGAAGGGCGGGGTATAAATCCAATCTCCTCTTCTTCTTCTTCTCCCTGCAGACTGCTCTTCTCCACTGAAATTTAGCACCTGGGAGTTGGTGGCCACTTGCTCATCAGAAAGGAGGACCTTTGCTGGGCAGCCCTAAGCAGAGTTACGCTTTTCTAAGCCCATTAACTTCAGTCAATTTAGAAAGAGGGTAATTCTTCTTAGGAGGCCTTGTTAAGACAGTGTAGTAATTGTTTTAAACCCCAACAAAGCAAAAAGTGTTATATGGCATATATTTATTTTTTAAGTGAATTGATTTTGAGTGTTGTTTTTGTGCTTAGAGTTTTGCAGAACTCTTTGAGATAAGTTGTGACATTGGTAGAGATGGAGGTATTTAAAATGATAATTGGTACTTATATTGGGATATTGCGGTATTTCAAAACCAGGATTGAGCTGAACTGTGAAGGCAAAGGCATTGCTGGTCTGAATCGGTGTTCTGCTATGATGAACTTGCAAGATGACCTAAGAAAAGCCATCCTTGACCCCAATCCCCAACTGCAACTATTTTAGAGGGTTGTTGTAAGGATTACAGGTCATGTATTGCTACACAAATGCTAAGTGACATTGATTTTTTAAAATATTGAATTCCAAAGGCATAGCTTCATTAGTCTATACACTCAAAATAACTACAGTAATGTGGCATCAAGGCACACATTTTTATTGTGGCAATGCCAATATCTAATTTAAAATGCATGCATTTTATGTTACCTGTTTTATTAGGAAAACTTATGTAACAATAACATTTTTGTTCACCTTGGCTGCGCTCCACGGTTTAGTTGTCTCTGTTGCTACAGTCTATTGGGACTGCCTCTCCGTAATCCAGTAGTTTTATTATGCTGGGAATTTGTGGAAAGAATACATCGTTTAAATGATGCAATTTTTTATTATTGTGGCAAAAATAATAATTTTAGATTTCGTAGAAGCTGATCCCACACTGTAATGGTCAACCTGAAAATGTCAAAGATTTGCTCACTTTCGGTACTGGGGGCATAGAGCTGCGGAACTGCAGCTCCTCGAGACGACAAAAAGCAATATATAAGGAAATCAACGCTGAAGGGAGTGTTAAGAAGAGTGTTTAGGGTTGCCAAGTCTGGGTTGGAAAATACCTGGAGACTTTGGGGGTGGAGCCAGGAGAGGGTGGGGTTTGGGGAGGGGAGGGGCCTCAGCACAGTACAATGCCACAGAGTCCACCCTTCAAAGCAGCCATTTTCTCCAGGGGAGCTGATCTCTGTCGGCTGGGGATCAGTTGTAAAAACGGGAGATCCCCAGGCCCCACCTAGAGGCTGGCAGCCCTAAGAGTGTTTCCCTACGGAGTTTCGACAAGACCATAAATTAGAGCTCGCAGAGGGCCCCAGTGACTAAACAAAAGCAAACCCCCCAAACAAAAATACGCTATACCCCCCCCCCTGCAAAACCCAGAACGGTGTACTGTACACGTTTTCCAGAACTCTTCGTCGGGGGGGACGTTTTTTACAAAAAGGAGCAAGCCAGGTGAGCTAAGACGAGGCTTCAGGGTCTTAGCATGCGGCTTCCACATGAAATGGGGGGCGTGTGGAGGAGGTTTCCCACACAGGCCTGAGCCCCACCTCCTCCTGGGTAGCGCACAGTCAGACGCGTACAAATCCTTTTGCAACTAATAACTTCACGAAGAGTTCTGGTATTCGAGGCTGCAAAGCGGGCAGCCGGGCGGAACCGGGCGCCCACTTCTTTATTTCCTGTTCCAGCCCCCGAGAAGGCGGAGCTGACGCTGCCCGGAAGCGTTTGTTCCGGGGTTGTCTGTTGACGTCTCGCTCCTGCCGCCATGCCTAAAGTGGTGTCTCGTTCGGTTGTTTGCTCGGACACGCGCGACCGCGAGGAATACGATGACGGCGAGAAGCCCCTGCACGTCTATTACTGCCTGTGTGGGCAGATGGTGCTGGTTTTGGGTGAGTCGCGCCGCGTGCGTGGCGGGGACCGGCTTCTTAGGCTCATCACGAGTTGTGCGTTTGTCCCCTCGGCAACCAAGCCCGGCTACATTTACTCGCGAGAAACCCCCGCGGATTTCAGTATAAAAGAGGGGGCGACTAAGGGCCGCAGATTTAAAACAGTCTTAAAGATAGAATGTGTGGGTAGAGGGGGGTGAGCCACCCCACAGAAATGATCCGTGGTAGATCCAGAACAAATATATGTGACAGTATAGTGCATAATTTTCTCATGGAACCGGCTGCCACAAGAACTGACCTCTACTTTGAATGATGGTAGAAGTGTATTAAATACATCTACGTCTTAGAGTAGGATTTGAAAAATAAAATTAGATATAGCTATTGGTATTTATAGGCCACATTTCCACCATAAGGTTACCAGAACCTCCACGGTCGGAGGCAGTGTATCTCACTATATCAGTGGCTAGTGAGATGTAATGGCAGTGAGGGAAGGCTGCTGACTTCATGCTCTGCTGCTGGGCCTCCTGGATACACCTGGTTGGTCACAGCTGCAAAGGATGTTGGGCTAGATGGATCCACGGTGGTCATGGAGTCTTACAGTCACGGATGTTATGTTGATATAGGAAGATGGATAGTGAGTAAATGCCCTGGGGAGGGCAAAGAAACTAATCTGCTTTCCCCTCCCCTTTCAAACTTCTAAGGATGTGATAATAAAAAAGAAGGCATTTAGACTGTTATCCTGTGTACGCTTCCAAGAATTGGTTCTGTTGGTTACACTTCCATTGGTTCCAGTCTGGATTTCCTGGCAGCCGTGACCCAATGCCTCTTATCTTAGAAATTAAATTCTGTTTTGCAGGACATTATGAAATGGTTTGTATCTAGGCGGAAAGACATGGAGATATCCAGGGAGAAACTGTGGCTCAGTGGTAGAGCATCTCCATTGCATGCAAAAGGTCCCAGTTGCAAATTTCAGTGTTCCCTCTAAGTTGAGTTAGTGTGAGCTAGCTCACAGTTTTTTAGCCTCCGGCTCACACATTTTTGTCTTAGCTCAGGAAGGAGGACTTCAAAGCAAACTAATTGATGTAGTAGCAAAATCGCTCACTCACAACTTTAATGCCACCAGCTCACCAAGTGGAATTTTTGCTCATGAGACTCCACAGCTTAGAGGGAACATTGGTTGCAATCCCTGGTATCTCCAATTAAAAGGATGTATCAGTAAATTATGTGAAAGACCTATGACTCTAGAGCATTGTGCCAGTCAAAGTGGACAATACTAACCTTGATAGACCAGTGGGCTGACTCGGTATAAGGCAGCTCCATGTCTGACCTCATGGCTTGTTTTCATCACACACAAACTAAAGATTTAGTGTAGTCAGCCTCCATTTGTAAAAAAACCACCAAAAACCCAACCCAGTGGTTATTAACATAGCTTATATGGCTATGAAAACCAGTTTTATTTTTTTACTGAAAACAGAACGAAGTACAGAACAAATATTTTTGGGGAAAGTATGGTGACCAAGAAGAGCCTGTCTGGAAGCAAAAACTTTGCATGTCTCCGACTGTAGAAAAAGGGCTTGCCAGCTGCACTTCATTTCTGTGCCTGCTATCTTAGTTGATTGGTGTGTTTTCTGCAGATTGTCAACTCGAGAAGCTGCCCATGAGACCACGAGACAGAGCCCGGGTGATTGACGCTGCCAAACATGCCCACAAATTCTGTAACACTGAGGAAGAGGAAAATGTTTATCTTCGCAGGTAGACTCATTCAAGCTCCACTGGCAAGTTCCAGCAGTGCAATACGCAGTTATGGTCAAATGCTTAGTCTTCTCCCACATTCTCCTGCCCTTGTCACTATAACTTCTGCCCCCCCCCCGCAGCTCCCCTGCCTTCTATCCCTACCAGCACCCGGCTAGCTCTGGCTTCCCTTCCTTCCTTCCTTCCTTCCTCCTCCTCTTCCAGCTGCCTTTTTTCCCCAGATAGCCTTCTCTCCTGCCCCCTACAGGGTTTTCTTCAAGTTCAGTCCTCTTCCTGTTCACTTTTTTCCACCAATCATCTCCTTCTTCAAACCAGACCAACTTATTGGGTTCCGTTTTGGCTTGTTCTGACAATCCAAAAATGCTTTTTGGTAGTTTATTTTTTTTCCCCTCTGCACTGTCTGCACATTCACACAGTGCTGCTGTTACTGTGGGAGGGTTAGCCTTTAACCTACAGGTGTCAAACTCATTTGTTACAAGGGTTGGATCTTACATAAATACCACTTTGTCGGGCCAGGCCATGTATGCTATAAAATGTCATGCCAGGTAAGAGAGAGATAAACTTTATAAAGGACACAGACAAACCCAATTAGTTCTATTATTTTTTATTCAAAATACCAACATGTTTAAAATACTAATGCTCTTACAGTATTTCCTTAAAGTATCTCCCTGATGCCTGCCCTCCCGCTTCCACTGCCCATTATTCATTAGCACTGAGACAGTATACAGGGACATAATGCACAGCCTCTGTCATCTGACAATAAAGGTAATTACCAGTTGCTTGCGGTCCCGATAAGAACCCTGGATGGGCTGGTTCTGGCCCACGGGCCCTATGTTTGGCAACCCTGCCTTAACCTTTTATAAAGTGTTTGTATTTTTCTGCAAACTTGGGGTTTCCCCCAGGTTTGCAGAAAGATAGTCCATAGCAGTGGGTGGCTCCCCCTTGTAGACTTTTTTTTAATTTGCATGGTAGGGCCATTTGATTGTCTCAGCTCCTTTCCCACCCAGCCACACTTGACCGAGTTGATTTTAGTGATGGCATGGTTTGCGTTAATAAGGAAATGTTAACTAATAACTGTACTGGAGTACATGCCGCTATTACAGAGAAGCCTGGGGAGGTAGAATTGGAAGCTGAGGTAATTTCTAGTACATCCACCTCTCCTTCTCCTAGAGAGAGAGAATGAATTATTTTGTTTGGAAGTCCTCCTTAAACCCAGGAATCTTAGCCTATTGAAATAAGGTTAGTGCATCTCTTGGGATATTTCCCTCAGTCCCATCACAAGTCCCTAACCTACTATTTCCCTAAGGTAACAGAGGATTCCGGCTGTATTTATGGCTCTTTATTGGCCCCTGAGCCATATGTACCTATCAGAGGTGTCAAAATCATTTGTTATGAGGACTGGATCTGACATAAATGTCACTATGTGGGCCATAAAATGTAATACCAGGTACCGGAGATATAAACTTTATAAAGGACACAGGCAAACCCAATTAACAATCTTATTTTTTCTCAAAATACAAACAAAAGCAATTGATTCCTAGCAGTGAAAGCAATTGATTTACTGGGGAACCCACAAAGCCCCAATAAATGTATTTAATCATATGCAAGACTAGGTTTTTTCCAAGGGATACCATAAAAGGGGGAGTACCTTACATTTCCATACATACCAGTTGCTTACGGGTCGGCTAAGACACCCCTGGTATAGATGTCTGAGTTCTTTTCCTTCCTTGGGTGAAGCATTAGTAACTAACGAATCTCCGGGTAGTTTTCCATTTCTCTGTTGGCTCCTCAAACCTTGTCTGAGGCAATGACAAACTATCCCTTAATTTATTTCCCCTCCCTACCTCCCATAGGTTCCATAGCCTCTCACTGGCTGATCCCATTATGTGTTTGTTGTTGCTGGGTTTTTTTGTTCTAATATAGCTCTTGTGTTCTCAGATATAGGTCTTGACAGATCTTGTAGAAAAGCCTACATACAGGAGGTTACATGGACATTGTATAATATAAATAATGGCTTTGGAATTACAATTAGCAATAGAATTAATATACAAAGTCTTGCCATTAGATGAGTTATGAAATGTATGTCTTTTACCAGAAAAAAGCACACCCTGAACAATGCCCACAGGGGAATCAATTGTGGTATTGTCTATGATGGGTTCACTTATTCTGCTCCTAACCAGCATGTCCTGGAGGTTTCTGGATCATCTGTAAGCAAGAGGAGGGTGGCGGGAGAGCTACACCTAGGGATACCAGATAAGAGATGCCAGTGCTTCTGAACTGTATCTCTTACCAGAGTATACATTCTATTACATGTTAAAGTAATCACCATTCTATCAGTGTTCTATTTCTTCCCCCTTGAGGTTGAGATAATCTGGTGGTGTTTTTAGCTTGTTTTAAAATCTTTGCTGAGTAACTCCTATCAGACAGTTGCTTCATTAATATCTGAGCCTGTTTGTGAAAATCTGATTCTAAACTGCAGTTCCTTCTTAATCTCAGAAGCTGGGAGTATGGCAGGTTCTTCTAATGTGTATCTGCCTCTTCCCCATGTAGGCAGGAATTTGCTAGGATACCTGGAGGGCTGCTTGTCACAGGCCACCTATGCTTATTAGATAAAAGATGATGTAACAATGAGGGATATAAATCCAGATCTGCGCTCCCCAGCATCCAGTTTTATCAAATGTGTTTTGAATTTACTGGTAACATGCAAAACTGCAAGTTTTAGTTCACTTCTCTTCACACTAGGGTATTTTTTTAATGCATTCAGTTTAACGGCATATAGACGCCAGTGTCTTCACATAGTAAGTTCTGCTTGTTTTTCTTCTGCAGGCCAGAAGGCATTGAACGGCAATACAGGAAAAAATGTGGAAAGTAAGTACTTCCAGCAGGATGTGTTCAGATTACATTGTAGGAAGGGCTGCATACTCCTGCATCTCATGTTCAATTCCATGTTTGTATCTTCTGTGATATCTCAGGCTATTGCTTAGAAGGTATGGCTTGTTGCATGTCAACATACATCAGTATGTGTTCATACACCTTGATTTACCAGCAAATCATCCTGGAGGCTGTTGTTTAGGAAGGCTAGTTGGACACAGATTTAACATTTGTCTAGATCATGGCTCAAAAATTGCTTCAGAATGCTAATTGTCGGCATAACATTCTTATATGCAAGGTTGATCCAGCACCTGGGATCTTCCCATCCAAAGTTTGGACTAACAATTGGGTTAGCACAATAATGACGTAGATAAGTCACAAGTTACTTCTGGGAAAGCCCCAGCAAGGGACTTTCAAGGGAAGTGAGATGCAGAAGTGGTTTGCCATTGCCTTCCACTGCAGAGCCTTTCTTGGTGGTCTCCCATTCAAGTTCTGACCGTGCCTATTGCTTGAGATCTGATGAGATAGGGCTATATCATGCTGCCTTGCCTCCCAAGCACCATTACTACCAGATGACAGATTTTTAATGCAAGGCAGGTGAATTGCTGGTCCTGCAGTGTTAGGCTGAATGGGGCAATAAAGCTGTATTGCAGCTATCTTAAGAAACAAAATGTATGTACTAATGAAATAATACTGTACATAGAACAAAAACAAAAAAATGATCAAAAATTTAATATTGGGAACGGAAGTAGCGGAATGGGTAACAAGCTGAGATCTTGTGACCTACTTCACAAGAGCGTTGCAAGGTTACAAAGTAGTGTGTCACAGCACTCTATAAATGTTGAGGATTATTAACGTAATGCTAGCATTCATCTACCGCTTTCAAACATTTATAGTACTTCACATATAAATAAATAAATAAATAAAGATTACTTCTTGTAATCCAGTAAATGGTTTTTCAAACAGGCTTATTGCTCATGATCACAATGGAGCAAGACCTGCACTAGACATATCAAATTGGAAAAAGTGCAGAAAAGGGCAACTAGAATGATAAAAGGGTTGGAACACTTTTCCTATGAAGAAAGGTTAAAACACTTGGGGCTCTTTAGCTTGGAGAAACGACAGCTGAGGGGTGAAATGATCAAGGTTTATAAGATTATGCATGGGATAGAGCAGGTAGAGAAATAAGTACTTTTCTCCCTTTTTCACAATACAAGAACTCTTGAGCACTCAATGAAATTGCTGAACATTCAGGTTAGAACAGATAAGAGGAAGTACTTCTTCACCCAAAGAGTGATTACCACATGGAATTCACTGCCACAGGAGGGGGTGGTGGCTACAAGCATGGACCGCTTCAAGAGGGAATTAGATAAACATATGGATCAGAGGTCCATCAGTGGCGGTTAGCCACAAGGTATAGATAGGAACTCTCAGTCTGGGGCAAGTGATGCTCTGTATTCTTGGTGCTTGGGGGCGGGGGCAACAGTGGGAGGGCTTCTAGTGTCCTGGCCCCACTGGTGGATCTCCTGATGGCACCTGGTATTTTTGGCCACTGTGTGACAGAGTGTTGGACTGGATGGGCCATTGACCTGATCCAACATTGGCTGTTCTTATGTTCTTAACTTGATTTTGCTGGAATGTCAGATTAAATCAAAGCATTTCTTTCTTTCTTTTTACACAAAAACATTTTATATTTTCTTCCCCAGGTGTGGACTGCTTCTCTTTTACCAGCATCAGCAGAAGAACGCCCCAGTGACGTTCATTGTTGATGGCGCTGTGGTCAAATTTGGACAGGGCTTTGGAAAAACAAACATTTACACCCAGAAGCAAGAGCCTCCCAAGAAGGTAGAGAGATACATGCTTACAGGGAGGTGGAAGGGGGCAAAATGGTAGGGAGATGCTGCATTTCAGGTCCCAAGAACTAGAGCCTCTCTGGACTGTTGCGATTTGTATCTTTTTTAAAAATCCTTTGTAATGATAAGCTCACAGGACTTGTATTGGGGTGGACTTCACCTTGAGCCTTAGATAACACAACTCAGTCTGGCTTTATTTATTTATTTATTCACTTCATTTATATCCCCCCTTTGGCTTACATCATTCTTCCGTCCTCCTTTTTATCCTCACAACAGCTCTGTGAGCTAGTTTAGGCTGAGAGTGTGTGGCTGGACCAAGATCAAAAAGCAAGTTTCCATGGGAGAATGGGGATTCAAACCCGAGTCTCCCAAATCCTAGTCCAGGACTCTAACCATTACACCACACTGGCTTTTGGACTTCATCAATCCCTTTTTCTTGGAATCATCATTGACAAGGAACTTGCCTCCTCACTGTCACAACAACATTTGCCTGCTCTGGCTGGCTGGGGTGCTGGTGTGGCTCTTCGTTCTGCCCCACTGACCCCCAGTCGTAGTCGGGTGACTTCTGGGAAGAAGAGCTGCCTCTGCTTCCTTGCACACTTTTGCTGGGACAGTCGATTGTTTTTATAGCTGGAGCGGTCCAGATGGCTCCACTTAGAGTCTTTCTGGATGCATTTCCCAGAACTCACAGGCCTCCCATCCCCTGCGTTCCCTGAAGGAGGTGCTTTCGAGTCCCATGGTATGCATCAGCATCCTGGTACATCAGTGCAGAGGTTAGAACGTCAAATTTGGGGTGGGGTGCAAATCCCAGGGCTGCCAGATCTCCCATTACAGTGGGAGACTTTCCAGCACAGCCCACAACCAGAAAAAAGAAGAATGTGCTGTCAAATTGCAGCTGACTGATGGCGACCCCAACCATGGGGTGTTCGAGGCACAAGATGAGCAGAGGTGGTTTGCCATTATCTTCCTCTGCATAGCAACCCCAGTTTTCCTTGGTGGTCTCCCCCGCAAGTACTGACAATGGTCAATCTTGCTTAGCTCCCAAGCCCGGACAAGCTCCTGCCAAACTGAGCTTAAAAAGTCAGCCAAAAATCGCCATTATGTCAACAGTGGGATCTCATTTCCCTGGTGAACCTGGAAGTGACATCATGCTATTGATGTGATTGCCCCCCATGCCCCCCCCAGCATGCTTCTGGGGGCCAGCCACTGACTGGCAGCCCTACTGTTGAGCTGTGGAACTCATTGGATGAGTTTGGGCTAGTCACTCTCTCTTCGCCTAAGCTGCCTCAAGGATTGTTGTGAGGACGCGCACACTGCCCGGAGCTCCTTGGAGGAAGGGCGGGTTTTTTTAAAAAAAATTGAAAGCATTCAGCATGGCCCTGTTCATAAGAACATAAGAGAATCCAATGTTGGATCAGGCCAATGGCCCATCCAGTCCAACACTCTGTCACACAGTGGCCAAAAATACCAGGTGCTATCAGGAGGTCCAGCAGTGGGGCCAGAACACTAGAAGCCCTCCCACTGTTGCCCCCCCCCCCAAGCACCAAGAATGCAGAGCATCCCTTGCCCCAGACCGAGAGTTCCTATCTATACCTTGTGGCTAATAGCCACTGATGGAACTCTGCTCCATATGCTTATCTAATTCCCTCTTGAAGCTATGCTCGTAGCTGCCACCACCTCCCGTGGCAGTGAATTCCAAGTGTTAATCACTCTTTGGGTGAAGAAGTACTTCCTTTTATCTGTTCTCACCCGAGTGCTCAGCAATTTCTTGTATTTTGGCAAGGCCTGCTGGGCTGCAGAGCCGCCACAGAGGGGCAAGCAACATAGCTCCTAATAGTGAGTTGTAGTCTGTGAAATGAAGTCTCACAGGTCAGGTCTTTTGGGTCACCTGTCTCTTCTCAGCATTAGATTTCCATGATGCTCCTTCAGCGTGGCAAAGTAAGAGAGCTCGGTATGTCTTTTATGCCACACGTCACATCCAAATAAATAAATGAACCTCTTGTTGGGTTCCCAGGTGATGATGACCAAACGGACCAAGGACATGGGCAAGTTCAGCTCAGTCACTGTCTCGACCATTGACGAAGAGGAAGAGGAAATTGAAGCGGTGAGTTTTCTCTGCTTTTCTCACAGCAGCATGCAACGTCCAGGCAGACTTCTGTGACATCTTGGCCTGTATCCATCCCATTGTTAAGAAAACCTCCATGCCCATAAGTTTTCTTAAGAAGGGGGTGGTGATTTTTCACTACCATCGTAACCAGCGAGCCCCCCCCCCCAATTCAGTAGACCTTCAGGAACAACATAACGGGGGCCTTCAGCGGGGGTGGTGGTGGTGGTGCATTCTTAAGAAAATGTAAGTGCCCTGAATGCAGATGGATGCAAGCCACTGTTTCAGAACAATATGCAGTTCCCTCATCTCTGCAGTTTTTGCCTTTATTTCTCCTCTTGGGATCCTGCCTTAGGCCTTTTTGTTCTTCTGGATATATGTTCTTTACACATGACACATTCATAGGGTTACCAGGTGTCCTGTTTTTAGAGGACAGGTCCTCTTTTTTGGTGTTCATCCTCTTTTGGGCTCTTTTTAAAAAAAAACTGATGAAAATGTCCTCTTTTTGGGTTGGCAGGTTAGGAATATTCCTAGTTAGCCGCAATGATCACAGCTTAAATAGGAGGGGTATTTAAAATAAGATTTGTCATAGTGATTACTTGTTTGAAGTAGTCAGTCGGGATACATGTCCTTTTTTTGCTTCTCAGAATATGGTAACCCTACACATTTACGTACACGCAGTCTCAGTTTCAGAAGCCTTTGGCCGTTTCAGCCAGAGGTGAGGAGGTGGGCTGTTGTCCAAGAAACAAAGTCCAAATTTCCTTTGGGCCCTGTAATTAGTTGGATGATTCTTTAGATCCCAGCCTTGTATCTCTGACATCTGCCCACCCAGATGGCAACATCCTATACCAATGCTGCTGGAAGGGACCTTCCTTCCACAGTTTGTGATCTGGGACTTTATTCTCCTATATTAATATCTGTAATTAGTCCGGCAGAGCGATATTGTATTCAGCTACAAGGTAACTCTGTTGAGGGTCTTGTCTGTCTTCCAGAGAGAAATTGCTGATTCCTATGCACAGAACGCCAAGGTGATTGAGAAACAGCTGGAACGGAAAGGCATGAGCAAGCGGAGGCTGCAGGAGCTGGTAAATTTACCCTTCCCGTTTACCTTTTCCATTTGCTTTGAGACCGCAGTCGAGGGGCTAAGGCAGAACAAGTTGAAAGCTCAGTCCAGGCAAGATGAAGGTGATGCTGGTCAGGAAGTCTGGTGGTTTGGAAGGATTTACACCCACTTGTTTTGCAGGGGGCAGAGTTGGCATTTGCAGAGCAGATGAAGAGCTTGGGAAGTGCGTGTGGACTCAGCCTTGCTGTTTTGAAAAGCAGGTTGTCATAGTGGCCAAGAGGGCCTTCCATCAGCTATGTCCGGTTTGCAAACTCTCTCCTTTCTTAGGGTTGGATCCAGGCACTTCTGTAGAATACAGCATTCCTTCCTCCCCCTGCCCCACTGCAGCCCGCTGACCTCCCCAAAATGCTCCTTGGGGGGGACAGGGACCCACAGGAACAGCATGAGAGGCAAACTGGGAGTCTGCAGCAGGAAGCGGGAATTGATGGCAATTACCCCCAACCCTTCCGTTTTCAGAAAAGTTAGTTGGATCCAACCCATACGCTTGGCTGACCCGGCCACACTAGTCCTTGCTTTTGTAACCGAGACTTTGGCCTTTAAGATAGCACTCCTTAGGGGTACATATTAGACACAATGATATTTGGCAGCTACTGCATAAAATTTATTATGATGCTGTGGAATTTTTGAGAGTCAGTTTGGTGTAGTGGTTAAGTGCGCGGACTCTAATCTGGGAGAACCGGGTTTGATTCCCCACTCCTCCACTTGCACCTGGCTGGATGACCTCGGGCAAGCCGTAGCTCTGATAAGAGCTGTCCTTGAAAAAGAGCAGTTTCTGTCAGAGCTCTCTCAGCCCCACCTACCTCACAGGGTGTCTGTTGTGGGGAGGGGAAGGGAAAAGGAGTTTGTAAGCCGCTCTGAGACACCTTCGGGTAGTGAAGGGCGGGATATAAATCCAATCTCTTCTTCTTGTTTATAAGACCAACTTGTCATCAGGAAGACTCTGAAATAAATGATAGATGATATTAGCTCTGGAAGGATAATAGTCAGTTGCTACAGGGAAAGCTGTGATTGCTCTAACTATTTGGAGCATGGTGACACATCACCACATGGGAGGCCTTTGATTGATGAGATGATCTCTTCTATTGGGTCAGCCACTTAGTTCAGAGATGAGAGGGCAAAAGATGAGTAAGTAAGGCATAATGCTCGAAGATGTGGGTTTTTTCCCCTGTCTCCAACACAAAGCTTGGTACTGCCTGTGAATCACTGACTGGTTTAGTAAAGCAGCAGTTTTCAGACTTGTAAGCTTTTCCCTGTTGACGTTGGGCAGGGTACCTTAGAGTGCAGGAATGGACCGTCCCTTTAACTTGCCAGAAAAGTTACTGGAGGGCTGCAGGTGATCAGTAGTAAGCTGAGCCAAATGGCCCCACAGAATCTGTTCATATTGGATAATGGCAGCAGCAACATTGCGAATGTATATACTGTGGTGAGCAGTGTTTCTTCTAAGCTGAGTTAGTGTGAGCTAGCTCACAGTTTTTTAGCCTCCAGCTCACACATTTTTTTCTTAGCTCAGGAAGGGTGGCTCCAGAGCAAACTAATTTATGCAGCAGCCAAATCACTTGCTCACAACTTTAATGTCAGTAGCTCACAAAGTAGAATTTTTGCTCACAAGACTCCACAGCTTAGAGGGAGGACTGGTGGTGTGATCCTGTAGTCATTGTTGTCATTGCTGCAGTGCAGGTTGGGGCTGAGCTGATCCTGCAGAGCCACTTGGCTCAGTTTATTCCAGGGCTGTTTTAACATCCCAGTTCACTCCAGCTCAGGTCTGCTACGGAACTGTAGTGTGCTGCAGAAGATTTTGGGACATGGTCTAGGGTGCACAGTAATAAGGGACACTGGCCAGACTTGTGGGGCCTCACTGTGAACTGAATGTTTAGAGCATAACCAGCATGATCCAACATAATCAGCAGATCCCTGAAAGTTGCACATTGCGGGAGAATATTGGATTGAGCAAGTGGACTTTCCGAGAAGCTTGTCCCCCATTAATGATCTTCTCATTAAGGAACACCATTAATGATCTTCTCATTAAGGAACACCAGGATTCCTTGAATCCCTCTGCAGTTCTTCTGCTCCTGTTTCATTTGATAGGATATTAGTGTGCAAAAAACCAACAAAAATACAGGTTTTTTTCCCCTTCTTAACTTTAAATTAGGCTGAACTGGAAGCCAAGAAGGCCAAGATGAAAGGAACGCTAATCGATAATCAGTTCAAATAAGAAACACTGAGATGCAGTCATCGTTGAGATGTTTTGTTTCGGGAAAAGGAAGAAAGCCGCAGCAACTCCCATCCTGTGTAGCATGCCACATGAAATCCGGATACATCTTTAAAAGGCACTTTCTTGATCATCACCTTAAAGGATGGGGCCGTTCTGGTTCCTGAGAAGGATTCTCTGTTCTGTCGTGTGCCATGTAATTAACATCTCCTGAAATTCCCCATTGTATGCCTGGGAAGTAATCAATAAACACTTAGTTACTGGCAAGCAACCCGTCCTTCTCAATGTAGCCTTCTGTTGAGGGGGTGTATATAATAGCATTAACATGGCTCAGATACACTCAATATTTTTATTGTTAACACAGAAACTGTACAGAGAATAAAACTTTGATAAGTTAACTTTTGTGGTGTGCTGTTTCCCCCACCTCCTTTGACACAAGCAGTGACATCTATATGACTGTGTATGAAAGTGTAATACATTTATTATATATATTAGCAGCCAGGGACCCTCATATCTTTGGGAGCACCTCTCCTGGTATACCCCCCAAAGAACTTTATGCTTGGCTGATAAGAACTTGCTGGTCAGACATCCGGCTGTCCTTGACCTTGGGCGTTCTCGGTCCTGGCCCCAACCTGGTGGAACTCTCTGCCGAATAACACCCATGCCCTGCGTGGCAGTTCCACAAGCCATATAAGGCAAAAATGTTCCACCAGGCATTTGGTTGAGGACAGCGACAGCTTCCCCTATGGCAGGCACCCCTGTTTCTCCTGCTCCCCCGCCCCCCCACACGAGGCAGTGGCATACGCTGGCAGTCCCATCACCATCTGACTGCTCATAGGTGCTTGTATAATATATTCCATTTTTTAAATATGATTTTATGTAATTATTTTATACTGATGTACGGTGCGGTGGCTCAAGTGGTTAAGACGCTGAACTGCAGGCTGTGGAAGGGCGGTAGTTCAGCAGTTCGAGCCCCGAGTGTGCCGCATGACGGAGAGAGCTCCCGTCTCTAGTTCCAGCTCCTGCCAACCTAGCAGTTCGAAAGCAAGAAATTGCAAGTAGATAAATAGGTACCACTTCGGTGGGAAAGTAACAGCGTTCCGGGCGCCTTGGTGTTTAGTCATGCTGGCCACATGACCACGGATACGTCTTCGGACAGTGCTGGCTCTTCGGCTTGGAAACCGAGATGAGCACTGCAACCCTAGAGTCGGATTCGACTGGCTTTCGAGCAAGGGAACCTTTACCTTTACCTTACACTGCCCTGAGCCCTATTCTACAGGGGAGGGCGGTTTAAAAATCCCAACTTAATAAATAAATATTTACACTCCTGCTCTTCCTTTGGGGACCTGAAGAAGCTTTTGAGGGGATCCCACTCAGGCATTGAGCACCCTGAGAACTGCTTAGCTTTAACAAAGTAAAGCTATAAAAGAATATAAATGAATTTTAAAAGGGGATTTGGCAGATGCATAAAAGATAGGTCAATCACCGACTACTGGCCACAGTGACTAAAGGGAACCTCTATATTCAGAGGCAGCAAACTTCTGAATACCAGTGTGGAGGAAGGCCTTGGTCTCCTGTCCTGTTTCTTTTGCCCTCCATGGGAATGGCTGGCTGCTGTGTGAAACAAGATGCAGGACTAAATGGAGCACTGGTCTCACCCAACGCTCTTGTTTTGATGTGCTGTGCTGCCAGGCAAGGTGACCCAGTTAACCTAAGCGAGAGAGATCCCAGAGACCAATTGCAGATATGTAATGTACGTCTGGTTTCAGAGCTCTGCTTATTAAGGGATGCTGAGATAGGGTGTAATAGATGGGGAGATAAAACCGGATGCAGTGACTTGTGTCATTTATATTATAAAAGAGCCCTGTTGCAATACCACTGTTTGGCCAGCTGGGGGGCTTCAGGATCAAAATCAGAAGCCAGAAACAACCAAGGCTAATAGGATAGCATCAGAACAGCATGTTTGATTAACTATCTCTAGCCTGACCCTCCAAACCCCCACTGGAAATGATTATGCCACATTTATTATTTCCAAGGAATACACTGTACATGTATCTCCCCTCTTCCATTTTATCCTTCCAACAATTCTGAGAGGTAGGTTAGGCAGAGGGGGAGAAGGGCCCAGGATCATCCAGTGAGCTTCATAGCTGAGTAGGGATTTGAACCTAGGTTTTCCTAGCCTCAATCTGAGGCTGTCTAGAGATGCACCATACAGCTTTTTTGAAGGCAAGTAGGAATGTAGAACTCACAGCCTCAGGAGGACAGTTATTCTACATCCTTGGGGCCACCACAATAAAGACCCTGCATTTGTGACTACTGTTCTCATCCAGTGGATTGTTGGAACATGAAAAGATCTTGTGAGTCTCATTTATATTTAGGGGTTTTGTAATTATATCTTTTGAACAGTGATGAGAGCATATAATGCCCTTTTGAAAGCAAGAATTAGATGCTGTGTATGGAGCAGTTGTATGAAGAGTTCTGTATCAGAAGAATTCAGAGTTCTGATAGTTGTGACCAAATCTTGCCACTGTCAAAGGTTTTTACCTTGTTTCTAAAAACCATTTCCAAAGTTAGTTTACTATTTTGGCTCCTAAGAACATGCCTGCCTTTGCTCCACTAATGAAAACAGATTTTACCTTTTATGTATAATCTAGCTACTCTGTGCTACTGTAGAGCTTTTCTACTTGGAAGATTAAATATTTTACCCTCTGTGGTTTTACAAGGAAGGTTTTTGAACAGGCCTTATTCTGATAGAATTTGCCCTTGTGGCCTTAATAATATTGACATATTGTTTCATGTTTTGCTTGAATACTATTTTGGTTTTGATGTCTGTGTTCTTTGAGAATATTAGGGACTATATTAAGCCATTTATTATGGATCAGGCACCTCCTTATTCTTTGAAATCTCTATTTGCTTAGAGATAATGATCCTAAGATTACTTTGGCAGCAGCAAAATTTGTCTCAGTCCTTTGATCCCTTGCATCCAAAAAAATTACCAATTTTTTTTTTCTGTTGCTCAAGATTTGTAAATCAATGCACTTCTAAGGGAATAAAAAGAAAGGAAAAGAAAACAGATATTGGAAGGATTTGTGAATATGTGATGCCAGCTTACCTCTAGGATTCTTCACATACCATTGTTTAAACTGCTAGAAGGCTTGAGAGAAAACCTTGCCCTGTTGTAATATCTGTATCAGCCACTTTTCATATTTGTTCTGGTGTGTAACTAGTGCACTGCACATGGTGTTCTGCCAGGATTTGTATTCTATTGTGTTCTTTATATAGTAAAAGTGGTATGTCACAGAATAGATACCAACCTCACTACAGCTGATTGGATCCTGATTTCTTTTCTCACTGATTTAACAGCAGGGGGTGATTTTGGCAAGGGAGAGGAGGGCAAGGCAGATGTAAGAAGCGGCAGTAGCAGAAGAGGGTGCCAGCTAGGATGGAAACCGTTGCTGTCCTCAACCAAAACCCAAAAGTTTGTTCCTCACTATGTTCCTGAAGCTGTCTCCTAGGAGCAGCATTCTGGGGAGATTGCTGGACTGTAGCGGGAGGAGGAAATCTATATCACTGACTGAAGTGGCAAATTTATTCTGGATCTCACACATATTAAACTGCTTGAGTCAGTGTTGGTCCAGCAAGGCCAGTATTGTTTATTCCAGTGGTTCTTGACCAGTGAACTGCAGAGTTCTCATAACAATTACTCAGAACTCTCTCTCCCTCAGCCCCCATATCCACCTGCAAGCATGACATGCTGTCTTGCCTGCCACCACAGATTATCTATCTGTGACCTTCTAGCATGCTAGTAGTAATCTTGGGACACTTGGGGTCTCCTAATCCCCTGTTCCCCCTGCCCACCACCAAGTGTCTTTGATATGACACTTCCTGCCAGGGATTATGTCTTGTGTGTCTGCAATTTTTATGTCCTTAAAATTTAAATGATCTTCCCAGGGGGAAAGTGGGCTTTCTTTGTTTTGATCGTGGTGGAACCCGGGTCCTTTGACAGAGTGATTGAAGAACAAAGTCTGAGTCCAGTGGCATCTTTAAGACCAACAAAGTTTTATTCTGGGTATAAGCTTCATCTGGTGCACACAAAAGCTTATACCGTGACTAAAATTTTGTTGGTCTTAAAGGTGCCACTGGACTCCAACTCTGTTCTGCTACTTCAGACCAGCATGGCTACCCCAACTGAATTTATCTTCATGGTGGAACATAAGAGATCTAAGGCTGAGAACCACTGGTTTATTCTGATTAGCAGTGGCTCAGGGAACGGTATTTCCCGTCTTTGCTACCTAGGGTTGCCAGCTCCAGGTTGGGAAATACCTGGAGATTTTGGGAATGGAGCCTGAGGAGGGTGGGGTCTGGGGAGGGGAGGGGCTTCAGTGGGATATAATGTCATAGAGCCCACCTTCCAAAATGGCTATGTTCTCCAGGGGAACTGATCTCTGTTGCCTGGAGATCAGTTGTAATGTATGTAGTCGTAACAGCGGGAGATCTCCAGCCACTACCTGGAGATTGGCAACCTTATTGCTACACCAGGTCATTTTCTCTGTAGAGGTTAGGTACTGTACCTGGGGACCTGTGCAGGCAAAGCATGGGCTGTACCCCTGAGCTATGGGTCCTCCCCTATTGCCAACACTGTTTTAAAATGGATGTTCAAAAACTAGAGATGCTAATTTAGCACAGCCAGTCTGCACAGATCTAGTGGTTCCCAGACCTCCCTCAGTGCTGGTGTCCTCTTAGCATACCATGTACATGTTCTTCCTGAAAGCCTAGCCATACCTTTCGTCTTCCTGTTCTTAGCTTGCCACTCTGAGCTCTTCTGCTGCCAGTGCTTCACACTGTCTGCGGTTTGAGAAGGGTTGCCCAGGCATTGTAATCACGACAGGAGCAAAGGTGGAGCTTAAGTTAACCAAGTACAAACACTTCCTGCCTTTTCACATTTCCTTAAAAGGAAATCCACCCCGTAGCGAAGCTGCTATGGCCTATGGGTGACCTTCTGTCAGGAAAGGGGAAAAAATGCTAGTGCCAGCTTTTCGCTTTCTGAAGGTCATTCTTTCACAACGTGGAAGTTAAAAGGCTTCAGGTAGCTATTGTAGAATTCTTGGTCTTTTTTTTTTCTTTTCTTGACAGATATGTAGGTCCTTTGGTGCTCTGGACTGTACTTTGGAGGGTGAATGACAGGATGCATTTTGAATACACCCTTAGTTCCTCAGCACTTGCACAGTAGCTGCCATCTGACTAAACAAATCTAACTTGATTACCTATATGGATATGAGTTGATTCATGTATTGATTAAATCAGCAAAAATCTCCCTATAAAAGTTCTAATGAAAAAGGCATCATTTTTCTTAGAGGGT